GGGGCGAAAGTTTCGTTCACAAACCACAGATACTATTCTTTTGACTATTTCTGAACTATATTTCCGGCGGAAGCTATAAAACTTTCGGACTCTATCAGAAATTTAGTTTTCTATGGAGTGCGATCTACTGTGCACCGTGCATAGCCCACCCTCTTCAAGAAAAGCTCGAATCACTCGAATAACTCCCTCAACATATTTGGAAGAGATGACCTAATACTTTTAGAGAACTACCAAGTTTTCTGGAACTTCTAAAACCCCCTTTTTTGAAAAGTGAAAAACTATGTCTTGCAGTACTTGCGGACCTCTTCATTCGAAAGGTTCTGTATTGTTAGGTAGCGTTCTCGTGAGATGGGATAAAAAATTCTGAAAAATCAAATAGCCTTCCTCCTAAAAGCAGCATTGAACTATTGATAACTCCAACTAACTATCTTTGATTATTCGAAGAATCATCCCGTTAATCCGTTCTAGGTGCACATGCAAGTTTTCTTGACTCAAACGTTTATACAATTCTTCATGCTGACAAATTTGGTAGAAAATGCTGACAAAAAGTGGTTTCAATGGAATCAATTGGGTCTAAAAGTTTGAAAAAAACCCTTTAGAAGAATTGTGAGCTCGTCCTGACCAGAATACAAAGTGATTTAACAAGATCTCCTGCTCTGGGATGCGCCATTCAATCGTTTGTGGTGATTAGTCGCAGTGATAGTTGGAAGTCTGCTCCTGTTTGCCGTTTTGCCATGTCTTCTTACCTTCAAATTTTGTGAATGGTACTTCAGCATACGAGCGATTCCCCTTCCACTAGGCAAGTGCGGCCCCTCGTTAACCTTTGTGCAACGGGCAGTTGACGTTTTTCATTCAACCCATTTCCATGGAGTCGATCAGTCCACCCAGGCTAGGGGATGTGACAGACTTCGAGCATGAACCGCACTAATGACAACTGAAACAATTTTGTCCTGTAAGCTCCGCAGAACTCGGGCGCTATCGCAGTATACGTGAGCATCCTTCGAGACAAAGCCTACGAGATAGGCAGAGCTTATGCAAACGTAATATAAAATTAAACTTAAGAGGAGGTAAGAACTCTTGGGAGAATAGAAATGGAAAATTAGTCTCAAACTGGAATTTCTTGAATTGAGACGCAGAGTGTTTGACCTATGTTCAGTTCATAAACTGGTACAGAATTATTATGTGTCTGGATTTTCCAATGTCTTCAAAATGTCATATTCGAGAACTAGAGGTGGATCCATGAAAATATCATTAACGCGACCCAAGAGTAATGTGCGTGCTAAGAACTTCACATATAGAGCCGGTAGTGATTATTTGAATATAGCGAAAAATATACCCGCTTCTTTAACACAAGCACAATTCAAGCGACGAATATCTAATATATTACTCAGAACTAGAGGTTCATAGTATTTTTTGAGACTGATTACCAAAGCTCGTTGTTCTTAAAAATGTAGGTGTTTTGTAGTTATTTCTTGTTCAGTTGTGATTCATAATGGTGTCAATTATTTCTCACGTGTGCCTTATGCAAACGTAATAAACTTAAACTCAAAACTAAGAGGGGGCAAGAAGTCCTGGGAAAATAATAGAAATAGCCCACGCATACCGAATTATCCCCCACCCCTTCTGAAGGCTCGGTCTCGATTTTAACAGAAAGCACATTCATCATGCGGTCTTGAATGTATAGCCACCATTAATGCTTCCATATGTTGCGATAGCGCCTAGAATTCCAAGTTGAAAACCTTTCCTTCCAGGGCTCGTAGCTCCTGCTTGAACTTATCTAACGGCAATGGACCCATAAACATTTACAATGGTTCTTTTTGAGATTGTGATATTGTAATAGTTCTCTTGAGGTCTGATTTTCCGACTCTTCGAGATCACTCAGTGACAAGTAAGAGAATGATCGGGCGAGTTGTCAAGCGGTGTGCGATGAGCGCGACAACGCAGTGGCCCAGATTCTCGGCCTTCTTTTAGGGTCGTATAACTTCGT